TAACTAAGTTCGTAACACCTTCAATAAATTATTTCAACTTTGATAATGTGAGGTTGACGATTGTATACTTCAATTTTCGTTGTTCCTTGTTTTTTCAAACTTTATTTGCTTCTGATTTATTAAGAGCTTTGGATCGGATGCCAAGTTTACTTTATAGGTATTCTTGTTGGCTATTTGTTTCAAAATAAAAACTCTTCAACAAGATTTCTCTTTTTTCTTTCATTACGAAATCTAAACACAATTCACGAAATTTTTAGGTAAATTGGAAGTAGTAAATAATATGAAAAGTATGAAATAACAAATTTCCAATCAGTCGATTAGTTCATTAATTTCTATCCTAAATATTCTAATATTCCTTCTTATTTGCTTTTTTTGTATTTCTTTCGATTGCCTTTTAGAAAACTTTATGAAACTTTCATATTATTATTTTCAGATGCCATACCGCACCGAATTGCGATCTTATCAAGAAAAAAGGAAGAAAAATACGCTTGAATGGTCGACGTTAAGTTGTAAATAAGTTAAATAAAGTGAGAAAAGGAAGTACTTACGTGCTTTGAACCGAATCAAACTGCGTGGCAAATTGGGCAAATTGTATAGTTCTTAATTTATTGTTAACATTGTAGATTACCAAATATAATTTCGTAAACAGCAATTTCGTGATACGGAAAATTGAAGTATAATGAAGGCAGTGCAGATCTAAAGTCAGAACAGACTTTAATCGTGGAAATCGTGGAATCATCACAGCATGAAATCATTACAACTTTATTAATCATTACAACATTACAACGGGAAATTTAGGCAGGAAATCATTGTAAGAAAGGATTTGACAATCCTAATAGTAGAAATAGAAAGTATACTCACTAACTTGCGTAAACTTTGATGAGTAGAAATAGAAAGTATATTCACTAACTTACGTAAACTAACTTATGATTCCATAATTTTGCGTCCAATAGACTTTATATTCCCTAATTCTTTATCACTAATAAGTGGCAGTAATGATGATCAGAATGACAAGTTGAATACTCAGGAAAAACTCATCAAATATTGGTTAAGTGCAGATATATTTTAAAGAATGTGGAAAGATGAGTGTTTAACTAGCACGAGAGAATGTCAGAAATCTTTAGGAAGATTGTAGAAGCGTAGAAACAAGAATTATAATTGTAGGAGAAATCGTATTCGTAATTAAATGCTCTCGCAGTAAGTGGAAAATAAAAATAAAAATACTGAACGTAATTAAGGATAAGAGAATCAGAAGTGCCTTAATACATTTTCCTTGCTGGAAGCTTTTAAATCGACCTATCAACATGTTATATCCTGTTAGCCTTGAACAGGAAGAAAAAACAAAATTCTAATTAGCAAATCAAAAAGTAGAATCCTCCAAATAAAACCAACAAATTATGTGAACTTATACTAGGACGTGCTAGAAGTGCTATAAGACGGCAATAAACTGCACAAGAAACGAAGGCATTAATTCTCTCAGTCGGGAATGTCGGAAATAACTTCATAATATAAAAATATTTAAATAATCTTTATACTCTTGTTGCTTATGTTTATCAGAAATTGTTTATCACAAACCTTTGTCATTGGTTAGTACAGTTTCCTTGTTATGTAATAAGATATGCATTATTTAACATCTTAATTTATTATTCAAGAAATAACCAATTAACATCAAATAACTCCCTTCTTACCATCGGCTTCATTTATTGTATTCTTGTTAATCATCAGTTTTACTTTTACTGCAAACGAATACTGCCAATGATTTATACTTAATGACCCGTTGTTTACCATTAGTTTCATTATATTATACTGTGATCTCTTTGTGCCATTAATTTCATGTACAAAATGACCAATTGACCATTTACCAAAAGCAGTGCTTGCCGAGCGCTGCCCAGTTCGATAGGAATGTATTTCAGTTCATCTACTACTCCAAAACAAAACGGTCTTACCATTTACTTTTCTCTGAACCAAGAAGAACCCCAAACTAAATCCCCGGATCAACGTTAACCGAGTACAGCTATTTTCTATTAATTGAACTAAACGCTAAGAAGGAAAATAAACTTCTCTATTAAATAAACAAGCCTTCACCACAATTCTGTTGTGCCAATTCAATCAAGCAAATATTCAGCAGATTCATCACTGAGTCATTATTACACACAGAATCAATATATTATAACTTTTTTCCAACATACAAAGGTATTTCAAATTTAATAAGTGAGGGAAAAGAAATCATCAAAATTTTAATTATGCGTAAAAACAACTCTGTTATTATTTTAAGGTTTTGTCTAAAAAATATTACTAAGGTGTTGTCTACAAAATATTCAAAAATTGAATTATTTAATTACATGTCTCAAAGAAACACCTTACTAGCCATCAGAGGCTATGATTATCGGGAAAGTCCTTATTGAAAAATTTGAACACGCACATACAATCAGAAAATCGTTCTATAATGAGCTATGCCTCATCAAGAAAAATGATTGAGAATGAAAGGTAACCGTTGAAGCTATTGAAAGAATACTTCGATAATTAGAAGTTATGGGTGAGAATCTACAGCAATCCAGTATCGAAATTATAATTGAAAATAAATTACCGATCTTACTTTTCATTGAAAATTGACTTGAAATAAATAACACATAGCATTTTATAGTTTTTATTCCAATTCTCATTTTGGCAACAAACGATAATTTGGGGTTCTTACACCGAGTGACTTATCACCAAGTGATACGATTTTCATTTTTTCATAGGCAATTTCTTTTAATTTCAGTTAATTTGCTAATTTTTACAATATGCACACTATCAAATAAGGCTATGACTTCTTTTGTAGTTTCGGGCAAATTAAAATCATTTCAACCTCCTACAAAGGAAAACACTTTCTTACCTTGTCGATTTCACTACTTTATTACTGGATTAATTACTTTTATCGAATTTGTTTTCTCTTTGATTAGCCCAACAGATTGTGAGCCATTCTTATATTTAATACATAAATATTTTCTCCCACTGCAATTAGTTGCATATGTCCTAATTGAAGACAGTTCAGGCAAGCATTATTGTACCATTCGTTCCATTCTTTGCTCCAAAGTAGAGTAAATTTGACATTCGTTATCTCAATGATTATTGTTGCAAAAGACGTAAGATCTTGCTTTATTAACCTCTTTTGAGTTCATAGTCTTTTAAAGACTATAGATACGCCTGAAGTGTAGTTAAAACTAAAGCCGAAGTTTCTTCTGTAGCATATCGTGGGTGTGATTTCGATTTATTCTTAATTGGTTTCTATTCTTTCCCGATTTGATTCCTTGTTACTTCTTCGTTTCTTTGAATCAAAATTTCCCAACAATGATCTTAGTTTAGTGATGCAAATTTTGATTTGACATATCCAACCAATATGATTGTCTATAATGTGGGTGATATTTTATGGATTCCACCCGCTATTTTTAAAATCCTTCGATGAGCAACGCTGCTTCAGATTCAGATTTTTCAACAGTTTTTTTAATGCGAAAAAATATTTGGTTGAAAAATTATTCAACTAACATTTTCAATTAACCGTAGAATTGCAATATTTTAATAATTTAGCATAATTAAAAAGAAAAAAGTGCAAAGAATAAAAATTTGAAAAATAAAAGCAAAGAAAGATAAAAAATTAAATTTAATCAGAAAATTACAAATAACATTATTTTGTTTCAAAATAGAGGAAGCATATTTAAATTACATGACGAAAAAAAACTTGACGATGTTATTAAAGCCAAAAGGCCTTAAAAAAGAAAATTTAATATATAGGCCTATTTTTAATATTATTAAGTCTAATAAAAACTATCATTAATATAAGTAATCGCATTTAAATAGCTGCAAATATCAGTAACTATACTGAAAATAGAAAAATGATGTCATATAATATTGTGATTTAAAGTCCAATTTGTTAAATTACTTATCATAACTTAGTAGGAAGAAAGAAATTCAGCAAAAAAGATTTTAGCATAAATTAATTAGTCGCTTGTTTATTTTCCTAATTTAAAATCCGAAATTTTGCAATTTCGATTTTCTGAAATGATGCCATTTTTTGGCACATTTTCTTATCATTTTTTAAAACAATTTAAATATTCGAACAAAAATTTCATTTCATTCATGAAATTCTACAAAATAAACACAACGAAATAAAATGCTCTTTTTATAGTTATTCCTTAATCGATACATTGAGAATAATAAAGTTATTTGTGAGAAAACGTTTAAATTTGAAAATCAGTTGAACAAGCTATTCTTCATACAATTCATCAGCGTCTTATCACATCTAAAAAACGATTAAGTTTAAATATCGATTTAAAAAAGCGAAAATATCCGTTATGTCACTTTAATCAATGATTGTATTTTAATTTTCATTCATTTTTTAGAATCTATTTAAACAAATTTGGTTAATTTCAACTTTTCCACTATTCGAAACAAAAATTAATTTTACTTTTCAATGTTTATAACACTCTGTTGAAAGTAATTCTTAATGTATCAAAGATTTTTATATAATGTTCTATGTATTATTTCATAATTGAATAATAGTTTGTTATTTCTATTTTTAGATACTCATCTAAAAGATTTTAATTTATTTAAAATTTTCTCCTTTTAATTATTTACGACAAAGTTCAATGCAGAATTGATTGGAAAATTTGTCTTAAAATTGAGATGATGTTGAATATTTTTTAGAATAAAATTTATCTATTCTATAAGAAATTTGAGACAAAATTTCAAGTGGCTTTAAGCGACCCCAATTACGATTAACTAAGTGAATACACTAACAAATTTTGCAGCATTTTTCAATTTTGCCAAAATTTCTTAGATAATCTTTAAGTAAATAAATTCGGAAGAATCATACACAATATAAATCAAACAACAACTGCGGTTTAATTTCATGCATTTGTTTATTGAAGTTAAGAAAACAAAGAAAAGAAACTGTAAGTGAATATATTCTCTGAAAATTCTCAAAAATTTCAAGTTGCAATTTTAATGAATAATTATAAAAATTAATGCTTGATAAATTTTCTAACGTACGCTTTGCAGACGCATTTTGCACCACGTAATATTGTTACAGTACGAATTATCGGATCAGCATCGTCGTCGCATTCTGTCAATGTTATCCTTTCAAATTTTCCACCTTCCGGAACGCATACTTCACTTTTTTGACTTCGATGAGGAAATTCATGAGTTCCGTACTGAAATTTCTGTTGAAAAACTTTTGTGATGTTTTTTTTTGGGCATAAGCAAAATTCCTATATTATTAAAATATCTTGATAAGTTTAAAACAGTATCAAATTATATTTAAAACAATAAAAAATTCTAGGACTCAGAATTAAAAAGAAGAACAAAAAGCTAAGCAAAATTCCATAATAAATCATTTTACAAAAAAATGCATGGAAATAAACTTCATAGGTAGGACAGAATCCTCGGCAAACCGGAATAGTTAAATTAATCCGACATGTTTTTCCGTTTTCATCTGTTCGAATCAACGGATTCATACCTGGTGCATGTATCATCTTTAGAAAACATACATTATGTTTCTTTTTTTCTGTTTCTTGTCCTCTTCTATGATGCTAAATGAAAGAAGACATGAAGGATGATTGTGCTGCAAAGATTTTATTTCTGTCAATCTTTTATTATTTCATTTAATTCAATATTAGTTTATATTTCAGGCTCGTATAATTCAATATTGAATTTCAATTTCATACAATTCAATGCTTATTAATTTTTAATTTCAAACAAACAAATATAAATTTGTTTAAGAAAAGTTTCAATAATTTATGAAAAAAAGGAAGAAGAAAAAGAAAACCAACATTTGAAGATGAGAAAGCAATTGATGTAAAAATAATTGCTACCAAACAAATGACGACGCATCGTGATGAAACCATTATTCAATGATGTATGATTGGAAGATAAGTTAAGTATCAGTTTACATAGTCCTTGCAAATTTTCTTAGCATCAATTCATCAATTTTCAAATGTTCCTTAACTATAGCTATTCATCGATTTAAAATTTCATTTTATCTTTTTTTTATTGCCAATTAAAAAAATTTCTATCCCAAATTTTACCTACTGAAACTTACAGATATGTTAATTGTTACAACAAATAAAATAACTCATTTTTTCTTAAAGATGATCAGCAATAATAGCAAGTAATAATCGATAATGACAATTAATAATAGTTAATAATAACAATTAATAGTAATAATAATAATAATGATAATAATAATTAGTAATAATAATAAAAATAGCAATAACAACAATTAACAGTAGTAGTAATAATGATAATACTAATAATAAATAGCTAAAAAAGGTGTGTAAAAGGAAAAAAATTAAAAAGAACTTTTTTATTCAAATTTAGTTGACAGTATTTTATAAAAAAGTCACAAAAATTTCGAAATATTAGAAGCTAAATAATATGTTTCGAATGATTATTACAACATTTTAAATATATCTGTCAATAAGCAAATAATGACGTAATCGCTGATGAAAAATAACAATATAGTTATCACACCCATTTGTCGGCTCAGATTACCTTTTCGGCAATATTGATAACTACGATCTTATTATCATATATAAATTATATTTTTGTTAATCACTAATATTTTCAGTTCTTACTTGAATACTTGGAACCACGAAATTTTGTTATATTTATTTACTGATATAAATTATGCCTTTATTAATTGATAAAGTTTTCGGTTAAGACCCGAATATTCTACTATATTTGTTAACCAGCTTCTTTAAATGCTAATTTTTTAAGTTCCTGCTTGAATAGATCGTAATTAAAGTAAAACATTGTAAAAATGCAGAATTTTTAGAATAAGCAATTTCAACAATTACAATATTATATGTTTTCCGGATACTTTAAAATATTCTTCCCAAAAAAAGAACTTTTTTAAGATAATTTGACTTATTGTTGAATTATCATTATTTCATAAATTTTTATATTTCAAATATTGTCTTACGCATTATTATAATTAATATAGTTTTATTACTGAAATTAAAACAAAAAAAATTAAAGCAAAATTATTTAGTGAATGAAAAGCAATAAATATGTTTCGAACTATACAATAAGAAATCAAATTATAATCATACCAACTGGCATTGCAAAATCTTCTAATGGATTTGTCTCCAAATAATATTTGAATTATAAAAGTTTTAAAAATTAACTAAAATCTTTAAATATTAGATATCTTATTGAAATATTTTAATTAATGATTTGATCTCAACTGCTTTTATTTACCATAAAGCTTGAACAAAATTAAACTTTTTAATAAAAAATTTAATTTTTCACTGATAGAATAATAAGGTTTTGGATGAAAATTATATAAATAATATAAATTAATGATAAAATTTTTAATTTTTTATTAATTTATCACTATTTTTTGCTATTACTATTATTTGCATTTCTAACACTTTTACAACATTTCGTTAAATGATGAGAAGTAATTATATAAATAAATAAAGAATTTTAATAAATTTTGATTTGAAAAGAAAAGCGAAACCAACTTCAAAACTTTACGCTTTAAATTAATTTAAATTAATCCATTAAAGATTAATATTATTTAAAGCTGTAAATAAAAATATTCTTCCCTAAAATTGGTTGTAATTCCTAAAAACCTTCCTTTCTTTTTTTATTTCGCTTTCTTTTCGTTCCTTTTTTACAACTCTTTAATTGCTTTAATTAGGTATACGAGAAATAATTATTTAACTATTGTTTATATTTATTTATGAATAAATGAACTTTTTTAAAATTATTTTATCAGATCATTTGTGTTGATTTATTTTTTTGAGATAAGGAATCATTTTATATGATTATTTGTGCGCTTAATCATATTATCTTATCTCAGATAATTTAAATCAAATATATTCAATTAAAATCTGTGCGATAATTTGTTAAAATGCTATTCTTACGCATTTAAATTTGATTTAACAAAAATGAAAAAATTATAAACTATTTTTAGTTGCTTGAGCTGACTTCTTACCATTCATTTAAATTTACCACAATTGTATGTGTGTGTGTTTGCGTGCTTGCTTGTGTCTGTTTGAAGTCTTTTTATCGTATAAAAAAGAGAAAAGGAAAAATTAATAGAGCTGTCACTAAAAGGATATTACACATCGAACGGATATGCAAATTTCGAAATTGTTTTCTAGTATGAGCAATTTCATTTACACAAAATTTCCAAAAATATGAACAGAAAAAAAGAAAAAATAGATATTTGCCACTGATTATTGATAATAATGATAACATGATATTGATATTATAAATTATAATTAAAATTGAAAAATAACCAAAATTTGTGGTCCAATATAAAAGTCAAATGATAAGAAGAAAATCCAAAATTTATTTCAAAATAAATTAATTTGAAATAAAAACAAGCAAAAAAGTGAATGAAAAATATGCATATTTTAAAACAAAAAATATATGTAAATTTCTCTAGCAATATACAAACAATTAAAATTGTTTATGCCAAATAATGCTTACATACTATAAAATATTGTGTTGAATATTATTTTCTTAAATAATTTCATCAAAATTATGCAATATCGTCCTAATTGAAAAGAGCTTTTGAAATAACAATTTTGTCAGCTTCGATTGAAAAATGCCATTTTATTTAAACCAGCGTGATGTTGCCGTTTCCAGTTGCCCGTTAAAATTCGCATATAAGTTAGACGAAATCGTGGATTACAAAAGGCATAACAGAATGGATTTATCGTTGAATTAATGTAGCATAAAAAATATGCAATATGAAAATATACTGCCGGAATGGAATCTTTGTAAAATGCTTCCCAGCATACGATTACTGCAAGGAAATCATATGTAAATGATTATTAATGCTTAATCATTTCATCGATGAATAATTATACTCTTATTTTTATTAAGTTAATAACAGTTTTATATATTTATGCATAAATAATTTTCTTTTCTCTTTTGTCTTTTCTAACAATGATTTAATTATGAAACATAACAATTTTATATATGCAAATAATTTAAAGGAATTGCCAATAAATTTTGGAATCAAATAAAAAATCTTAAAATTTCATACGCCTAGGGATATCACATGAAAAATTAATCAGTATATTTCAAAATGAATGAAATAATGAAAATTTTTTGAATAATTTCAAATTCCATATGCATGAATATATATCAATAACTAAAATTCATCGAACATTAGGATGAATACATCCAAATATGGAAATTTATAACATAAATAATTTGAAATTAATTTAAAATTTAGGCATTTAACATAAATTTGAGAGTTTTAACCAATAATTGATGAAAAAGTGTGTATTTTTGGAAAAGAATAAATCATATAAATTTACGTTGAATGATTTTGAAACTAATTTAATTTATAATTTTAAAATTTAAGCATTTAGCATAAATTCGATAGTTTGATCAATAACTGATAAAGAAACGAATTAATCATATCATTCATTAATTTCTTTCTTTCATCTCTTTTTTAATAAAAATGAAATAATTTTTGAAATATATAATTAATATAATTACCATTATAAGGCGTCCAAGTGATAATAAATGCTAATAAAATGGCAGAAAGTGTTTTTGCTGCTTTACTTTCTTGTTTTTTTTCATTTTTTCGACGTTCCTTCTCACTTTTTCGTTGTTCATTCAATAATTTGCTAAAATTATTCATTCAAATAATATTATTAATTATTGTAAAAATTCTTTGTCATAATTTATAATAAACAATTAACAATAAATTTAATTAAATAATTAATCAGTCAATAACTAAATAAAATATAAATTAACATTGTTGGATAAATGATGAAATTGGTAAAAATAAGGAAATAATGGTTTGCTTAATTTCTTTTTTCCAAATTCTTATTATTACTTTTATCATTTAATTTCAAATTGGATTTTTTTAATTTTGAAATTAAATGTTAAAAGAAATATTCTTCTACATGAATGTTTAAAGGAAATAAGCGATAAAATCAAAGTTTAAAGTTAAGAATAAAAATAAGGAATTATTATGAAAATTGTAGAATTATAATTTGCAATAATTAAAATAGGAAAATATTGGCAAAAGGATTGAAGTTCATTCTTAATTACTAGCAGAATCTTTCGAATAATAATTTAGTATTCACATAATATTCATAATATTTATTTAATATTAAAAAAGAAAGGTTTAATTATTTTTTGATAACAATTCTTTATTTTTAATTTAAAATGAAATTATGCAAAATTTAAAAAGCTTTCTTACTTTGCCACAGCTATTCCATTTAAAATTTGTTGTGAAATCACATTTTTACGAGCGTCTTCTATTTTGTCCACAACAAAGCGTGATCGCCTTTAACAGAAAATGATTAATCGAAATTTAATTGCAAAATTGGTCAAGTATTAATAATGATAAAAAAAATGACTAATTAGCCATTTGCTGTTTTGAAGCAATTAATTTCGTTAAGTTAAAGTTAATTTATTCCTATAAAAAGATAGTGATAAAAATTCTTTTTCATTTGCTGATAAATTTTCAATAATTTAAAAATAAATAACAATAAAAGGACGGAAATTATTGATTTCTTCTCATTAACATTTTCTTGAATGGATAATAAAGAGAGAATAAGTTTGATTAAATAATTAATATGGGAAGTGGTAATTATTGCTGCGAAATTTATGAATAATTTAATAATTTCAAGCAAATAATCAAAAAAGAAAGTTAAAAAAAGAATTTTAAATATACTCGGAAATATATGAATTCCATGATGAAAGACGCATATGTGTTTGTTCTTTCTCATTATCTTTTAATTCAATTAAAGTAGTATATGTTGAAGATTCATCCTTACGAGTAATTTGACTTCCTGCTGTTGATATTGTTTCAGGTAATAAATTATTACTTTCCTAAAATAATTTGCTTTAAAAAAGAAATTTCTGAGTTTTTATTTTTATCTTAATAATCCGAACAATTTTATAAATAAATACCGAGAAAAATAATGTTAAAATTAGAATTATATGTTTATTGTTATTAATTGGTTTGTTATTTGGCAGTATTTCATAAACTGCATAATTCGTATTCAAAGTAATGTAAGATTATAACATTATATCAAATTCTATGTGAAATTTATTGAACAAATTATAATAAAAAGAATGATAATTTCATCATTAATTGTTGTCTTGATAGTTGTGTTAATAAACACTGATAACATTAATATATGAGCATGATAATGATAATATAATTTAATAATATTAATCAAACTTGATTATCCAAGCTCGCCGGTGGTGATCGTTTTAAACGATTTTGAGCACAGTAATATCTGGTGTAATTGCTGCTGGATGATGATACCTCATCTGGACCAATTTGATGAATACCACCGTAACTTTCATCTATTGAACTACCAGTTATTTTTTCATAACAAATCCTCATACAACAATTTTGATTTTTCATTATCCTAAAATTCATTACAAAATGATTGTTTGAAAAGTAAAACAATTAAAAATGCAAAAAACAAAAATTTTAACTGATTAAATAATCGATTTACTTTGGTAAATAATTTGACGACGAATTTATTGGTCGTTGACCAAATGAATTTTTTCTCAAATTTGTTAATATGTTTGATTTCATTTTATTCTCGCCCTTCTTACGCTGATTCTGAAATTGTAGGATTAAGTGATAATATTCGACATTCTGATGAATATCATATTTGTTATGAATGAAAGAATTTATTGGTTCTAACTATTCGATATCATCGATAATTAATTTAAACTGGAAAACGGAAAAGATAAAAGAAACTGAAATATTCACCGTTTAAATTAAAATATTGTGAAATATAAACACATAAGTATTTAAAGTTTTTAAAATGAAATAATAAAAGAAATTAAGTTATAATGTATTATTGTTATTAATGGTTCTAATATTATTATTAATATTATTATTATTCATTACTAATATTATTATACCTGGCCTGCTTGCAAAAGGCACATATGTTTTTGCTGTTTTTTTGTTTCATAATATACTCGTGAATATAATATAATCATAATTACAAGAGGCAACCAAAATGCTGCAATTGTTGTACCAATAGATGCAAATTGATTCGTTTCAATAAATTGCACAACGCAACGATCGGGGTCAGTAAATCGACCTGAAATTAGCAGCTTTAATATAAATCTATCAAGTAGATCTATCAAGAAATATATGCACTATTTTATTGGAAACAAAAAATCATATTTACCACTAAAATATTAATAATACAATTTATTATTATAAACAAGAAAGTGAAAGAAAATTTTTATTTTCTGAAATGATACGATAAATTTTGAAAAGAAAAACAATTTGCAAAATGTAAATTTTTCGGCGAAAAAAATTATCTTTTCAACATGCTTCTTTTGAGACAGAAAATTGAAAATTTTTTAATAAAATTTAATTAATTAAGGATACAAGTAAAAAAACTATTTTTATAATATACCTTCAATATACGGCCAACTAATAATCCATGGTGGCCAAAGCATTGCTGAAGCAATATAAGTGCTAGCAATCATCAAAAATGCCTTCTTTGCAGTCCTTCTGTAAATGACAGTTATTCAATTTATTTACTCAAATGATATTAGTTTAAATTTAGATTTTATTAATTACAATAATAGTTTCTGAAAATGATATTTACGAAAAAATTAAAACTGCTAATTTATCAAATAAAATGAAAAATATTAACAAACAACAAATTCATGATGAGATGGATTTTGATTTTCTTAAATTTGCATGATTAATATTATGCACTAAAAAAATTTAACGAATAAATGAAGAGAATTTAAATAAACCTTGGTCGATAACTTAATGGCCTTGTAACAGAGAAATATCGATCAAATGAAATTAACAATAAATTGAGCACGGATGCATTGCTCATCATATAATCAAGGCATAACCAAAATTGACACATTGCATAACCTAAGCCCCAAATAGTATCAGCGGCCATATAATATGTCATTATTGGGATCGATACTATTCCTTTAAAAAAAAATTTTTTTTGATCAAAATTATTTGAAAATAAGGCATTGCCAATCTTCGATATATCAATATGTTATTACAGCTAAGATTATTGAAAAATAAAGGATAACCAAAATTAATGCATTGCATTAACTATGCCTTAAATGGTATAAGTAATCGAATGATATGTTATTATTGAGACCAATACTAAGCCTGAAGTTTTCGTTTTTTGTTACTCAGGAATATTTGAAAAATGACTGAAATGTTTTGAATATAAGGTATGTTTAAGATTTAATTTTTATATTTAAAAACAAAAATATGAAATGGTTAGATTGAAGAATTGTTTAAATTCAAGAATATTCATTCTATCTTAACATTGCTTACAGTAATTCATTTTGAAATTCAATTCCAATAGCTTTTAATAGTGAAAAAGGTAAATGATAATTTAGGTAAAATTTGTTTTGTTTATATAAAGCATTGATAAAATTATATTCTTTTTGTTTTTTTTTTTAAATTAAAACAAAATAAAATTATTTGAAGTTATTAATGATTGGTTTGAAATTAGCAAGCAATTTAATTAAAAACTTTTTTGTTTTTGCTTTTAATAAAATTTGGTCATTTCTTTTTAATTTATTTTTAAAAAATTAGTGATGCAAAAAGAAAAATTAACTTTCCAAGGGGAGGAATAAAAGAAAGAAAAGATGGGTGAATATAGCATTATTTCAATACTCTGATGATTGGAATAAGCCTTCTAGACGCTTAGAAAGAATTCTTTAAAAGATTTAATTTAAATTATTATTAGAAAAGTTTGCCCTAATAATATAAAAAAGGAAAAGCAAAAGAGTTTCTCTGAAAAAAACTAAATAATTAAGAAATAATGATAATTTAAGATAATTGATAATCATTAAAAATTAGTTAACATAGATATAGCGAAAAATTATTGTACATTTCTAATTGATATTTAAAATAAAAAAGCAAAATTACAATAATCACTGTTTAATTAGGTGGAGAAGACAATAAAAGTTTAAATAGAAATGATGAAATTTCAGGTGAAAACTTATGTAAAGATAATTAATGATGAGGGCAGTACAGAGATAGAAATAAAAGATAAGCAAATATTTTGCATATATCAACTTTGATTCACTCAAATGATAAAATTATAAATAATAGAAATTAAGCTAAAATTTTCTAAAGCCTGTATCGAATTGCTATTTTAAATTTTTATTATTCCAACGGAATTGTTAATAATTTCGAGCAATATTTAATAAATTCAATATTTTGAAATTTAAAAGAAATACTAAATTGTTGAAATATTAAATAAATATTAAAAATGAAAGATCAAAATAAGAGAGAAAGAGAAAGTAAGAAGGAATTAATACCAATGGCAATATCAGCAACAGCAAGACTGAATAAGAAATAATTACTGATTGTTTGTAATTGCTTGTCAATTTTGAAACTTATCATAACCATTAAATTGCCACCTGTTGTTAAAAAAGCAAATATACTTCCAATTGCTATCATACATATAAATCTATAATAGAATTAATCAAAACAACGATTGAAATTCTTCAAAAATATTATTTATATTTAATTTAATAAATTTAATTATTGTATGTATTAATTAAATTTTATCATCAAATATTCGATTTTTTTTAGTGAATTTTGTAAGTTTTTATTCATTTTGTTTCATTAATGTATCTTTGAAATGAAAATAATCGTAATATTTTCATTTTCTATAATTATTATAATTCTTATCAAATTTTAAATTATTGAAAATAAATAATATAATGTTCATTTTAGTTGTTTAAATTGCTATTCGTTCATTTAATATTAAATTGAATAAGCAAAAAAACTTTTAAAGTTTTGTTAAATTTTATTTTAATTAATTCAATCAAAATTAAGCTTATTTTACTTCAATAAAGAGCAAATTTAGGGTTTATCATATGCTTTAAATTTATAATTATAATCGATTACTTCATTAGTTTGTAATATCATAATGCATTCATTGTCCAAATTAAATTCATTTTTTACAAATACATTTCAATCTTTGATGATATATGTGTATTAATTTATTTTGTATATTTATGAAGTGAAATTTGTTTTAAACTATAATTTATAGTTTATGCCGAAATAAACCATAAATTTTAGCTAAATTGCGATAGCAAAAGTTTTATTATTAACTTATAAATAAATTCAGCAAAATTACTTCTATTGAATTCATTAATTTGTAAAATGAAAATAACATACTTTGGATGACTCATTTGTTGTTGCATATATCCAGTGGTAATATTTGATAGCATTTCATTAGTTCCATTAATTATATTATTGTTCATTGATGGTTGCTCCGAGTGAAGAAATGGCGCTGTTGTTTGGTTAAAAATAAACTCTAATTCAGGAAGCGTAGATTGTTCATCATCAAAAGAAGTTGATGATGCAAGTATCTGTAATTTTCTATTTCTTATTTGATGAAATTGTCTTTAGTTTTTCAAAATTTTAATCAGTCACATTCAATGATTAATTTTATTAAAATTAAAAATATATAATAATACTATTATCATTTTTGTTTTAGTTTAATATAACTTATTAAATTTAATTCAATTTAATAAAAGCTCAATATAAATAAAAGCTTAAAAAACGCTTAATCATAAATAGGATTTGTTACATTCAATAACTTAATTCAATTCAATAGAAATTAAAAATTATAATTCCAATCTATTTCAAATATATATGTATGTTATAAATTAAAGGTATGTATTTATGGAAGAAAAAATAAAACAAATATTATGGGAATTCCATTAAGGTATGGCCAAAGAAAAATTATTTACTATTAAGTAGGGAATGCATGAATAGCTGTATAATTCAAACTAATATTAGAAGATAACTGAGGCATAAATTAACGATTTGTTTTATTTTTACGTAAAATAATATTTTGGCTTTAACTTAAGCTTTTTAGCAAAAATAATTTATAATCATTGATGCTTAACAAATATGCAGTATGTCAGCCTAATTCTATCTTACTGCCATATTATTTTTACCTGCACTACTTATTTTTCTGCCTTTACCTTTCTCTTATCTATTTAGCATAAATGATATTTCTACAGCATTTTTTACATTTTCTTTCCTTCTACTTTAAATCTCTTCAAATTTTTAAATTAATTATTGTTCATTTCAACTTTAAAAATTAATGATATCAATTGATTATACTTATCTTTTTTTGCTAATGAAAAAATTAGAAAATTCATTTAAAAGGAATTAAACGAACAAAATTTATTAATCGATTAATTCTTTTGTTTGAGAAAATTAAAATTAGTCATTTTTGAAAAAATTTAAAATAAATTTTATGGAATGTATGAATGATTTTTATCGTTTTTTCTTTGTTTTCATTAAACTTTTTTTAAAAAAACAAATAAAAAATATTAATTGCAAAAATTTTTTCAAAATTCATAATTTGCTGAACAAAATGTAAAATTTAGAAAAATTATTAAGCAACCAATCGAATAGCAATAATTAATGAATTATGTGAATTAGTTATAAGAAATTTGAGTTAAAAAAACAAATATTTACTAGAAATATTATTTAATAGATATAAGCAAAAGTAAAGGAAGAAGAATGTTAGGTTAGCAATTTAAATTTATTACTAAAATGAAAACAAAAGAAAATAAATAAGTAATAAAGCTTTACAGATTTCCACGGAAAACTAATCAGTGAAGAAGAATTGAGAATGTTTCGGATATGAAATATAATTGGCAACTGCTGAAGGTTTTTGTTCTCCAAAACTTTTCATAATTATAAAAATTATAGTTAATCATATTAAGCAATAAGCTGTAAAGAAAAAGTCACAGATGTTTTGGAATTTTATTTCTTAATGAAAATGCTAGAAAATATGGATGAATTTTTATGAAATCATAAAATTCAACTTAACTTTTTTTCACTCTAATTTTAGTGCATTCAAAAAAATTATTGAATTCGATAATTAGGATAATTAATTTATTTAAAAAAAAAAGAAGGAAATGTATTTATACGTTACTATTTATTCATTAATCAAATTTTATTATGGTTTGAAATTTCAAAAAATATTACTTAAAAAGTTTAATCTTTTTATCTTTCATTTTTCCTCAATGGTGAAATAATTATTCACCTGTACGACAATTCGAAATAATTTGGAATGAACGAATGATTTGGGTAATGTACGCAAGATCTGTTCATACGTTGTTGTTGTTGCTGTTGTTATTGCTGTTGATGATGCCATTCTTTCACTTTCATTCAGTTAACCAATCTATCTTTTAATCAAAAATAAAACAAAAAAAGAATGAATAATTAGAAACAACAATTTGTGTATGATTTTTGGTCGCTTAGCAACTGATATATAAAATATGCATTCAAAATAGTTTTATTTGTATCTTATACTGTCATTAATTAATCACTCAATAGAAACATTGAATGATTAATTGGAATTTCCGATCAAGTAATAAATAAGAGAAAATCAATAAAATATTTGATATAAAATATGCATTCAATAGCTTAATCACAAAAACACTAAGTGAACTTTTATTAATTTGAACTAATGCAATGTATTAGTGATTTCTAATTAAGTAGTAAATTCAATATGCAGTTGAGTAAGAAAGAAAAAAACAATGAACTATTGAGTAATCAATTCAATCATTTAGTTTAGTTAGAGATTTCTAGCAAAGCGATGAATTCAATAAAGAATTAAGTAAACAATTAGGAAAAACAATGCTGAATTACTTAAATAGTGAATATAAAATAGAGGTAAGGGATTAAATAGTAAGAGTGGACAATTAAAATAAGAAGGAAAAACAAAAAGCAATAAGGTATCATTCAAAGGGATATTAAACTGTCAAGGAAAAATTAAGAAAGGAAAATATTTCCATCAACAAAATTTGCATCCTTTATAAATATGCTCCTACACATTTACTTATTTCTCTCATTTTTACTTCCCAAAAATTTTATGCAACATTCATTGTAAAAAAAGAAACAAATTATTTATATGAAAAAAACAATACTTTTCTTATAAAATAAATTTATAATGGAATAATTAATTTCAAATCAAAAATAATTTATATGATTACTTTGTATTGTAATGGTTAATAATTCAAAAACGAATCTAAAATATGGCATCAGAATCATGCATTGATTCTGATTTTTTCAACATCTGCTAAATTGATAGATGAATACAGTATGATACAGATGAATCTAATGCTTTTAGAAATCAATCAACAACAATAATAAAACATTTACTCATTGATCATAATACCATCTGTCTATTATATTATATTTACTTATCTGATCAAAACAAAACAAAAACTTCTGTTTATTGATTTATCAACTTTTTTTAATGATAGAATTGAAAGTTTGTTATCTTTTATATAAAATTTAATGAATCAAATAAGATAGATTTCAGCTGTATATTTAAAAAGTATCGATTAAATTTTAAAATACCAAAAACAATAATTATTTAACAAATTGATTAATTATGAAAATAATGAAAGTTTAAAAAAGAGGAAAGGTAGAAGTGGTATATATAATATACGAAATGATATATATAATAAACGAAAGAATTAAAAATAAAATATGCAAAATAATTTAACACATTAGAATTAAATGTAATTATATTCAATACATTTATCATAAGATATCATAAAGAATATTTGTAAGAAAAAATTAGAAACGGAAAAGAAATGCCTGAAGGAAAGTCAATGATAATACTTTTCTTATCTTTCTCTATCCTTCTTGAACTTTCTCTGTTTGTTAAATAGCTCCCCGTTGGATTGAAATTGAACAAAAAACAAAAGTTAAAATTAACTTTTTTTCTTCAAAAAAATGGGTTATTGTTGTTGCCATCTTCCTTCATTTCAAAAAATATCTTTTAAAACTTCCTTTCTTTTCAACTATGCCTTCAATTGATAATTTGTCAATAATAATAAAATATAGTCTCTCTCTCTCTCTCTCTCTCTCTCTCCTTCTCTTTATACATATAATTCATGAATGATTAAACTTAAATGGTACTTTTTCTATTATACATTTTTATAACTTGTTATATTATACATAAGATTTTCGAATAACTAATAATTTTAAATAATGGGGTACTGTAAAATGCTTGCTATGCTAATTTTAGTCATTTATTGCCAGTATTAATTAATTTCAACAATTATGTTTGATAAATCTATATCGATTATTTTATTTACTGAATTTAAATAAACCAAAAATTGTATAATTAATTTGAGTCATAAACAAAAAAGTGAAAAAACGATAAATTGAAATGTTTATTACAGTAATTTTACCTAAATAATTGTAGGATGTTAGTATTGATTGGTTTCATGTTTAGTATTTTATTACATTTGAAATAAAATAATAAAAATGAAATCAATCAATAAATGAATAATCAATTTGAAAAATTAGTGAGTTATGAAATAAAAATAATTTTCAAATGATTTTTCAATGAATAATAATAATTAATAAGTTTCATTCCATAGGCATTTTCTTTTTGTTTATATAAATCTTTTTTGATCTTTTGCATAATTTAAATTATTAAAACAAATACAAAAAAAAGGAAAATTGAAATAATTAATGTAAAAAAATGAAAAACAAAAGAGAAATGCCAAAAAAATATGAATTAATCAAATAATGCAAAAAACAAAAACTTTTCATAATTAAAATTAAAATTTAATAATTATTATTTCATTTTTATATTAATTTAATTTAATTTGAATGAAAAAAAAAGATGACAAAAATGAAAGAGAGAGAATTAAATAAAATGAAAATACTTAGAAATAGCAAAAAGAATTCTTCCACTAAATATTTATTTATCCTTCAGCAGCTGCCAATATATAACAATGTGATCATTTCCTTTTTCAATAAAAATGCTTTAAATGCCTTTTTTTGTTTGTAATTATGAATCATTCCATTTTGACAGCTTTATTTAATTTAAGTGAAAGCAATAATTTTAATTTAACATATTTGTTATCTAATAAAATAAAATAATATATGTGAAATTAAATTTTTTTAAATTTATAATGATGAATCATTTTATTTTTATCAGGAGAAAGAAGAAAAGATCTTAATTTATTATGCTTTGTTATTGTTTTTGATAATATTTATATGTGAAATATTTAATTCTTACCTTTTTGAATTTGACATTCAAAATTTCCAAATAAGCAAAAATATTTACACCAAAGCTAGTTGTTGTAAGTTAAGAAAGTCAATGTTTTATATTTGAATTGTTGTTGATGAAAAGGGTATAAAACAAAAATATCCGAGTATCGCGACAACTGCCACCTTGCGTGAATAAACTTTTAGATTTATGTTTGGATGAGTGTAATCTGCGAGATGTGCGTGTGTCTGTGTGTGTTATACATCAATGTATGTATCCGTTTATTATAAAAAAATGTTCAAAACTATGAAAGATTAAATTTTAATGTTATTTTGTAAATTTGATCAGAAATGATAATACGATAAATTTTTGAGCAATTTTGCATAATACAATTGAACAGTAATATAAAATACTAATTATATCAATGATATTACAAGAAAATAATTAAAAAAATTCAAATTTCTCAAATATAAAATTATTAAAAAGTTTAATTCAATATAAAAATAATTATTAATTGTTGTTGAAAAAAGAAATTATTATTTTGTTTTCTCTTTTTATGCGTCTTTTTTTTACTTTATTATAACATAAATAATATTTTATGCTAATTATTAGTATAATAAATAATTTAAAGAGAAAAATTTAATAACTTCAAATTTATTTTGTTTTACTTAAAGAATTTATTTCAAAAGAGAATAAACAAATAAATAATACCTTTGCAATAAATAAAAAGAATAATTGAAATTTTTTATGTTTGAAAAATAGAATTTTTTTATTATTAAAAAATTTTTAATTTTCTATATAATATACATTAAGTTTGATTTATTTTGAAGAATTGTGTGAATTAGTTAAATAAATGACAAAATATTGGAAATGATATATCTAATATAAATTATTGATTAATTTTAATTTCATTTCAACCGACTGTATGCATACAGGACAACAACAATTCTTCTGATTAGCAAAAGTATAACAGTAAGAACTTTTATATAAAGGAAAAAACAATGATACAGTAACTTATTGAGAAGCAATATCATTTACCATTATAGTTTATACGTCACGTGAAAATGAAATTTGTATTTCGTATAAATTTTGTTAATTTAAAACTTAGAGTATCATAAAAATATCTCCAATTACTGATAAGATAGCATACCAAATTGTAGGAAATGGAAATTCGTTTTCTTAAATGATAATAGATAAATGATGCGTTGATTTAAAATCTATCAAATATAAATGTAAGTTTAGACGTAAATTATGTAAATGTAAGATTGCATTTATGTGCATGATAAAACAGCGTACCAAAATTGCTTTAAATATGAAATTTTTTGTTGAAAATGAAGATCGGCAGTAACTGAATTAGGCAAAATATCAGAAATGCCATTATAACCTTTTTTTAAGCTTTAAAAGTATTTTTTGTTAATTAAATTTAGGCAAATAAGTATGAAAAAATAAAACATAATAAAAGACAAAAGTAAAAGATTCCATTCAAATAAACATTTTCTTATTTTTTGAAATTGAGTTTGGCATCTGATGATAATGGCATCTGATGATAATGGCATTTGATAATGACTTCTTCTTTCGCTTAATATACCAATTTACTTCCTATGTTGCAAAATAGATTCATTGTATAAAGCTAAAAAATTTTTTTTACAGTTTTTCTTCTTTACTTAAAATCAAATGAAAAAGTTTTAGGGAAATGAAACAAAATTTAACGTGAAAATTAATAGTTTCAACAAAAAATTCAAAATGAATAATTTAAAATTTCAATTATTTATTTTTATTTTTAGGAATTGTTAAAGAATATAAAAATATGGCACAGAAAGAATTCGTAATTTTATTTAAATTTTTCTTAATTTACCGAATAAATAAAAGAACAAATTGCTTTATTAAATAAATTTGTGAATTTTGTTTAAGATTTTGCGTTAAAATAAAAACGAAAGTTTTGTAATAATAAAATAAGCAAAGATGAAAACTAATAATTTTAGATATCAAATTATTATTTATATTTAGTGATATAATTAATTTTCCTCTAATTTGTTGCACAAAACGGAAAAAAAGAAATGAAAGACTTAGTCGAATTTTGACAATGCACGCTAATTTCAATTTAAATTTCATGTAAAAGTGATGAATTTGAATTAAAC